GCAGTGTGCTGATCTTTCAAAGTTTCTTTCCCAGCCCAATCCCCACTTTTTTAGGTGAGGTTTCGTGAGGTCTGTTAGGTGTACATTCTGCAGCTTATTGGCTTAAAATGTATTCTCCTTTGTTGTGGTCTCTTTGGGGCCAGTTGGGAGAAAGACAAACAATAGTGCAACTGTTTTGATACTGAATATTGACAAGTGTTTTTTTGAAATAAAGAACCAGTCCCTCCAAAAAAAAAAAATGTAGGGGATTTGTAGATATTATTTATCAAATCATGGAAATTCCACTACTGAAATTTTTTTCTCCATCAATTGATATGATCATGTGACATTTCTTCTTCAGCTTGTTGATATAGTGGATTACATTCATTGAATTTTGTAGATTTTTTTTGGGGGGGGTGGGGAGTACCAGGGATTGAACTGAAGAGCACTAGGTACTGAGCCACGTCCCTAGCCCTATTTTGTATTTTATTTAGAGACAGGGTCTCACTGAGTTGCTTAGCACTTTGCTTTTTTCCTGAGGCTGGCTTTGAACTCATGATCCTCCTGTCGCAGCCTCCCAAGCCTCTGGGATTACAGGCATGGGCCACCATGCCCAGCTGAATTTTGTAGATTTTAAAAGGACATTTTGAGGTGAAATTTATGAACAATGAAATGTGCAGATGTTAAATTTATACTCAAAAGTGTTTTGTAAATGTATACAATTCAAGATAAAAAAAACATTTCCATTGTCCAGAAAAATTCCTTTGTATTCCCTTCTGGATAATTTCTATCCCCATTGGCAGCCCTGTTATGATATTTTACCACTTAAGTTTCATATAAGTGAGATAATACGGTGTTTGGTACCTGGATTTTATTGTTCAATATAATGTTTTTGAGATTCAATCAAATTATTGCATATATCAATAGTCTGTTAAAACTGAATTCCATTGTACGTGTTTACTATAATTCATTTTTCTATTCTCCTTTTGATAGTCCTTTAGATTATTTCCAGGATTCATTAAAGTAACTATTGCCATTTTTAAAACTAATCTTTTGGTGGACATATGTTTTAATTTCTCTTGAGTAAATAGCTAAAAGTGGAACTTTGTAGCTCTGTTTAGCTTTAGAAGAAATTATTTTTCCATCTTAATTCCTATAGTGAATTCCTATAATTCCTTTTTAGCTATTGCTCTTGTATCATTTTTTTAAATGATTGTTCTAGGTATTAAAAGATGCATCTTTAACTTAATCATAGGAATATGATACCATTTCACCTAAAAAGTAAGACTCTTACAAAAGTAATTTCCTAATCTTTGAGCCATTGTTGCCATTTATTTTACATGTATTAATGGAATAAATTCTATAACGTAATGTCATCATTTCTGCTTCAAATTATCTGTTATCTTCATAGAACTTTTTTTCCCCTAGTGTTGGGAATCAAATACAGGGTCTTGTGCATACTAGGCAAATGCTCTACCTCCGAACTGTACCCCTAGCCTTTTTACAATATTTAAAAGAAGGAAAAATAATCATCTTTTATATGTACCCACATAGATATTATTTCAGGTAAATTCCACTGGTGAACTTTTCCATCTGATACCATTTTCTTCCAACCTGAAGAGCTTCTTTTAACATTTGTTTTTGCAGTGTTGGTCTTTTTGCAATGGGTTTTTTTATATAATCCTCAGTTTTTGTTATGTGTATGTGTGTGTGTGTGTGTGTGTGTGTGTGGTTTTTGTTTTATTTTGTTTTTTCAATGATGACTTAGTTTTATATTATTCTTCTAGATATATTCCTTCATGTAATAGAGGGATTTTTTTCCAATATTTTCTGACAAATTGGATAATTTCCATTGCTTTTTCTTCCGGGTTCATCCACACTGTGGTATGTATCAGTATTTCATTCCTTTTTACAGCTGAATAATTGTATAGAATACTATAGTATATGTGTGTGTGTATACATACACATATAGTATATATATTTATATACATACACTTATGCTATATATGTGTGTATATGTATGCATATATGTATAAATGTGCATATATACAGCATTTATTTATTCTTAAGTTGACATTCTTTTCCACTTTTTTTTTTTGCTATTGTGAATAATAAACTTGTGTACAAGCCCTTATGTGGATATCTGTCTTCATTTCTGTGATCATTAGGGTTCTTCAGAGAAAGATAGTTAACATGATTATGGAGGATTGATAAGTCCAAAATCTGCAGGCCAGGTCAGTAAACTGGATACCCCAGGAAGAATTATAGTTTGAGTCCAAAGGCAGTGTGTTGACAGATTCCCCCCCACCCCTCAGGGCAGGCCAGTCTTTGTTCTACTAAGGCATTTGACTGATTAGATGAGGCCCACCCAAAGTTAAGGCAAGTGATCCGTTTAAATGTTGATGTCATCCCCAAACACTGTTACAGAAGCATCCAGAATAATGTTTGACCAAATATATGGGCACTGTGGCCCAGCCAAGTTGACACATAAAATTAACCATCACAATACTTGAGAGTGAAATTGCTTTCATCTGGTAATTGTTAATTGTCTTGAGGAATTGCCCAACTATTTTCCAAAGTGCCTGAACCATTTTACATTCCTACCAGCAATGTCTGTGGGTTCTGATTTCTCCACTTCTACACTTATTTTCTGTTTCTTTGATTGTAGCCATCCGAATGTGTATGAAGTGGTCTTATTCATTTTTGACTGTGTGAGTTATTAAATTGTCAAGAGGCTTCTTCAGATCTTCTTTTATAATTCAGTAGTTATGGCTCTTTATCAAAGAGCTGTGCTGGGCATGGAACAGTAAACAGCATAAACACGGGTTCCTTACACATGGAATGACAGATTAGCAGAATTTGTAATTAATAGTTTAAAAAGAAACAAATACGGTAGAGTAGAAGATAGTAAGTTGAGTCAGTTCTGGGAGGAGCTTTTAAAAGTGTGATTCTCAGAACCTTGCTCAGACTTGCTGAATCAGAATCTCTAAGGGTAGAACCTAGGTTTTGCTAGCTCTTCAGATTATTCCAATGACTGTTAAACTTCAAGAACTACTCTTCAAAAATTTATGTTGCCTTCGTGAAATTCTGATTTAATTGTTCTAGAGTGAGGCTAAAAAGAATTTTTTTTGTTGTTGTAGTGCTAGACATTAAGCCCAGGGACTTGCACATGCAAGTGTTCTATCTCTGAGCTACAGCCCTAGCTCCCTCAAATTTTTAAGCAGCCAAGATGACAGATAAGGTTGAGAAACACTGGGCCAGAGGGAGCAGAGAATGATGTCAGTTTGGAGCTATTTGCAAGTCCAGATAAGATAAGGCTTTGAGAACTAAAGTCAGGAGTTTAGGTTCTGTAGAGTACAATGGGACAACTTTAAAAAGCTTTTTAGCTGATCAATTGCAAGTGTGGATTTTGCTTTAATAAAATATTTTCTAACCATGCAAATGTACAAATGACTGAGGAAGATTTCTATGCATTATATGGCGTTA